CTAATGCAAATATAAGTAATAAACAACGATATTCAGTGAACATGGCGTAATGAATAGCAATCGCTCTGCTTGCATATTCTCTGTTATATGATGTTCCCCTACCTTAATTTTGCCGATATATATATATATATATATATATATATATATATATATATATATATATATATATATATATATACAGTATACCTTGTGCTTGTGCACCCTCAAAAAAGTCTAACCTTTTTTTTTTGATTTGTTTTGCTTGTCAAGGATTTTGATTGGTTGTACCTCCCATACTGAAATGGCTTTCTATCTGAATAATGAATAGAAATATTATATGGTCATAATGTACTTGTTCCAGCTAGAAACATGTAACAACATAGTCTTTATGTAAAACTCATTAATACAATTGCATTTTAGAGAAACTTGGATTTACACTAAAAGTGGTAATCCAACTTTAAGAAACTCAGGGTTCCCCTTCAAAGGAAGTGAATCTTCAAAATTATATCTCAGTTTTAGATACTTTCATAATCCCAACAACCGAATTGAATTTGATTGAAGAAGAGGATGTAATAAATCTTCTACCAAGCCTTTCTCTTAACTCTTCACGAAAGTAGTATTAAAATCAGTGAAGGAAAAACTTTAAGTAACAGTTTTGTGCAACATATTCCAAAGCAGATGTTAATCAAATATGGATACAAAATCCTCATAAGAACGTTAAGAAAATATTTCGATAAAATCAGAAGCATCTATACTTATAACTTTTCACACCACGTACCTTATACAGCCATTCCTCACAAATTAAAGACAAGCTTTGGGTACCTTCTTTGATAATAATTGAACCTGGAAATTTTCATCAGATGTGATTGGATATCTACAAATTAAATACTATAAAAACCATTCTGATTCTAAACACAAGTTCTTGGGGGTTGATATTTAAAAGATTCTAGAGTTCCTTGTTCACTTTTCTCATGTAGTCTTCGGAAAACTGGTTTTCCAACAATGTGTTGCAATTTACATGGAAACTTAATATGCCTCTTTGTAAGTGGTCTGTTTTTGATCTAATGAAGCGGAATTTTTTCAAAATCTTCTTCATGAAAAGAAGCTTAAGTCTCTTGCTATGGCCTATATTTTATATTTTTAATCCAATTTTTAAAGAATACCGTTTTCCCCTTAAACAAAAAGAGTCTATTCTTGTAAATTTTCGTTTATATTCATTTTCTTTATGTCGGGAAGTTTTTACATTGATTGAAATAAATAAAGATTTCTTTATAGAACAAAGGCAGTCTTTTAAAGAAGTCAAAGTCATTTAAACCAGTACTGTTGGTTTTTAATATATATTCAAAATTTACATTACACACCCCTAATAAATTGTCAAGGTGGGAAAGCATAGAGTTGTGATTAGCATTATTTATGAGGCGTGGTATCCATCAGTTTTTAATGCTTGGAATTGGTAAGTATTCTACTACTCCAATCCCCCCTTCCTGTATTTTGCCAATTAATGTATTTCGCTTAATTCTGTCTCTGGAATCCCAAAGGAAGCAGAATATTAATTTACTTATTTTATAATTCGTTTTCTCGCGGAATAGGTAAGACACAACATAGATAAATTTACTCATACCTAAACTGTTTATGATTTAAGTCTCACCAAAAATTGTACGTTTTCTTTTTATCCATGATTTAAAGAGTTTTTGCATATTTTCAAATTTATCAATCCAAGTTTTAGGTCACCTGAGTCACTCGGGTGACCTATTGCTATCTGTTTTCGTCCGTCGTGCGTCGTCCGTCGGTCGTAAACTTTTGAACATGCATTTTTAGCTTCTTCTCTGGAAACCACTGAACCAGTTTCAACCAATTTTGGCATATAGCATTTATGGGTGAAGGGGAGTAAAAATTGTGAAATTCATGGCCCCTGCCCCCCTCCTCCCCCCCCCCGGGGGGCCTGAGGGGTGAGGCTAAAACCATCAAAATTGATGCAATCTTTAAAAATCTTCTTCTTTACTCCTGGACATCAAGCCGTCAAACTGTCGGCATGATTGTAATAAGCATTGAGCCCTCTACCAAAATTGTGAAATTCGTGGCCCCAGGGTCAGGGGTTCTGGCGTTAGGGCGGGGCTCTAATGATTATATAGAGAAAATGCATTAATTCTTTAAAAATCTTCTCCTGTGGTTCTGGGTATTTAGCCGATGAACTAGGTACATAGACATAGTTATAATAAGCAAGAGTGCCTTTAATAAGCAAGAGTGCCTCTTCCAAAATTGTGAATTTCATGGCCCCTGGGTCAGAGGTTCTGGTGTTAGGGTGGAGCTTTAATTATTATATAGTGAAAATGCATTAATTCTTTGAAAATCTTCTCCTCTGCTCCTAGGTATTAAGCCGATGAACTAAGTACATAGTTATGATGAGCAAGAGTGCCTCTTCCTAAATTGTGAATTTCATGGCCCCTGGGTCAGGGGTTCTGGTGTTAGTGTGGGGCTCTAATGATTATAAAGTGAAAATGCATTAATTCTTTGAAAATCTTCTCCTCTGCTCCTGGGTATTCAGCCGATGAACTAAGTACATAGTTATGATGAGGAAGAGTTCCTCTTCCTAAATTGTGAATTTCATGGCCCCTGGGTCAAGGGTTCTGGGGGGGGGGGTTATTTATTATATACTGAAAATAAATTAATGCTTTGAAAATCTTCTCCACTGCCCTTTGGTATTAAGCAAACAAACTAAATGCATAGTTATAATGAGAAAGGGTGCCTCTTCCAAAATTGTGAATTTAATGGCCCCTGGGTCAGGGGTTCTTATGCTTATGTTGGGCTCTATTGATTAATAAGCAGAAATGCATTAATGCTTTGAAAATCTTCTCCTCTGCCCCTGAGTACTAAGCAAACAAACTAAATGCAATAATATCAATGTAAATGTATTAAATATAATTATAAGTATATGTGCCTTTTCTTTGCAAACAGAGTACACAATTGTATTACGTGAAGCAAATGAGAGTTACTCCCCTTTGCTAGATGTTGTTAATCCAGAAATCCTTGTTTATAATTTAATTAAAAGGTTATTTGATTGTATGAGAATACAAGAAAAAATGTTATATATATATATATATATATATATATATATATATATATATATATATATATATATATATATATATATATATATATATATATATATATATATATATATATATATATAGAAACAAAATGAAAATGAATGTATGGTTTAAATGAGCAAAGCATGCTCAAAGTCAGATTCTTGCCTGGAAAGCAATATAAAAGATTGACATAAAGATTATTTATATATTTAGCAGAAGTTGTCATTATATACAGTATGCTTACACTGTGGTGAGCTGTTTGGCAGCAGATGAGTTATTGTCACTTGTAGAGTCATGGTTGACAAGAGACTGGATAATGTTGTTTTGTACTTTTTCAAAGTGAACAAAGAATCACAAAGAGCCAGGGTGATTTATTGTAATATAGTGACAAGAGGCAAATAGCCACGTTTTATACCCAAGTCTGTGTGTACTGAATTGTAGCACTAGGCAAGTGACAATTATATACAGTCAATGTATCCATATATATTGAATACCTTACACAATAGGCAAGAGTCCATTGTATTTGTATATTTTGCATTCAATATCATCCCTGTAAGACTTGGGAAAACCAAGTATGATCCCAAGGAGATCACTCGGGTCTATCACATTACAATAAGCAAGGGTATTTTTACCAGCGTCTTGAAACTCTTGGGCAACATTGCTTCGTCTATCAGTTAATTTTATTTTTTACTTCTATGGATCCTTTACAGTGTTGTATTATACTCAGGTGACCGTTAAGGGCCTTGGGCCTCTTGTTTCTGTAGCATTCCTTTTTATTTTTACCTATGTATATGCCCAAACATTTAAATGGTGAAGTATTAACTTTTATACCTTCTATTTTGTCTCTGATATGACTCAATGCCCCTGTCAATATGCATTCAGTTTTATCTATATTCAACTTCAATCCAGCCTAGTTAGAAAACTCGTGTATTGTTGTAAGACATTCTGAAATTGATACCACATTTTTAAGAAACAATGTAACATCATCATATTTTAATTCACTATCTATTATATTTTCATTTTGAAAATTTCAACTTGAGACGTTTGCTTAATTTTTGGCATTTTTCCGAGCATTTGAAATGGGAAAGATTTTAACAAGTAGTACAATATGAGTAAGTTTGCAGTATTTTTCATAAACTACATAGGTTAGGGCCTATGAAGATATTTATAAATTAAACTTAAAATTTTAATTTGAATAAACCTTTGCAATATCAAAATTTACAGACGAATGCTGCAGGTACATTTGCTAAAACCACGTGATAGTCACATCACATTACAGTCTAAATATAAAATTCTAATCGTCTTCAATGTGTAGTTGTTTTTATCCATATAATGACTGTCCAATATGAGGAGGTGCTTATTTTCTCAGAAATGAATTTTTATGTCTGACCATGACATGGAGAAAGTTTGACACCGAGAATAGGAAGTGCAATATTTTATTATCACAAGAAAAAAATTGATTATGAGGTACATACTCGTATGAAATCATATTTATATAGTGTCAGACATATATTAAATTCATATTTTTAGAAAATATAATAATGCGCTTCTTTTTGAGTCAGAATATCACATTGTTATCTGTGCTTATAAAAAAATGCATTCATCAACAAGTTATGTTAAAATATTTTTAACTAGGAAAAAAAATTGCACGACTAATACAAATACTATTTAAAGTTGTACGTGATGCATTACTGCAGTTTTTAAAAAATATTTCAAAAAATATATAGAACTGTGTCAATTTAATCTGGATGCAAAGTTTTTAAGTCAAATAAAATTATATCAAAACAAGGGAAAATATATTTAGTTGGGAAGTTATCTCTCTTATCAGAGTGTTAGATCCCCTTAAAATATTTTGAAGGGATAAAAATCCGGGATTAGAAAGTCACTATCGATTGCAAACTTCTCTTTTACACAACTTCCTGTTATAATAAGATGGCTCCTCGATATGTCAGGTTTTTCTGCAAGTTTTTCTTCTTGTTAAATTTTAAAGTTATTCTCGGTGTAGATCTACCGCAGTTATCTGCGATTTTGTCCCAGGAAGCTGTCAGTACCAGGGATGAGACTGGGTCTCTTGTTTTGACCGCTGGGACAAACCAACGAATTGTGCTAGTCGGGAGCAACTTTGCCAACACAAGCAGAATAGCTTTCACGACCGATGTTCGTTCGCAGAGGGAAACATGTGATGGACAGAGATCACAGACTTTTGCAATACTTTCTATTGCACAAAATGGGACGTTGGCAACTGTTATAGTTAATTTACCTCTTCCAGAAAATGGAAAAACGTACTATCACGTATGCTATTCTGTGGAAGGAGTAGAGAAATGGGAACATGGAGGAAAGGAAACGTTGACTCGTTTTGCTGTCAAGGATAAGGAGACCACACTTCTCCCTCTGTGGCTACAAATTATTTTTATTTGTTTCTTGTTAACACTTTCAGGTTTATTCAGTGGATTAAATTTAGGTTTAATGGCATTAGATAAAACTGAACTGAAGCTTATTGCAAAATGTGGATCAAGTTCAGAGAAAAAGTATGCAAAAGCTATTGAACCTGTGCGTAAGAGGGGAAATTTCCTTCTTTGTACACTTTTATTGGGAAACGTGCTTGTCAACAACTCTCTTACTATATTGTTAGATGACCTCTCTAATGGTTTGTATGCTGTTATTGGTGCAACCTTGGGCATTGTAATATGTGGTGAAATTATACCTCAAGCCATATGTTCTAGACATGGACTAGCTGTAGGAGCTCGGACCATTTGGATTACAAGGCTTTTTATGTTGCTGACCTTTCCTCTTTCTTTTCCAATAAGTTTGTTATTAGACAAAATCCTTGGGGAGGAAATTGGAAATGTGTATGATAGAGCAAAGCTATCAGAGCTGGTGAAAGTGACAAAAGAGTTCAATGATCTTAAGAATGATGAAGTTAATATCATATCAGGGGCATTAGACTTGTCAAAAAAGTCTGTCACCGAAGTTATGACAAAGATTGAAGATGTTTTCATGCTTGACATCAATAGCATATTAGACTTTGAAACTGTGTCAGAAATAATGAAACGTGGATATACACGTATTCCTATTTATGAGGGTGAGCAAGGAAATATAGTAGCCCTTCTTAACATCAAAGATTTGGCATTGATTGATCCTGATGATAAAACACCAATACGAACTGTGATCAAATTTTATCAGCATCCACTCATTTTTGTGTTTGATGATCAGAAACTTGACACCATGCTGCACGAATTCCGTCAAGGTAAATTAAGAAAGCATGCTTCTTGTAGTAAAATATATATTATTATAAATAAGTTTCCCCTTGTTACAAAAAAATCACTTAGCATTTTGAACAATTGAATCCTTTTAAAGATTTGTAAGCTGAGAATTATGGTCTGATAGCAGTACACATTCTCTTGTATGAAATGTAGGAATTAAATTGTGTTAGTTTTTAGAATTATTAAATTTTAGTTTTTGCCATGTTTACAGTTAGTTCTAAATTAATTAATATTTCATCTCAACATGTTTGTCGGCTTAATTTATGCAAAGGGGGTGTGTTAATTACTGAAAGTCAGAGAGTCGTTTTTCAGTATGTCATGCAGAACACAACTTTTTATATTACTTTAACTGATTGTGTAATGTGTAAAGTCAAACATATGCAGCATTAAGTTTATGTTCTTTATAATTATTTTACATACTGTAAATGAAACAGCAACATTTGTCAGTGTCAGTTACTGTGTTTCTTGCTTAAATATTTTAATGCCCCCATCTGTGTTGTAGTGGACATGAACATGATGAAATTGTTTGAAAATATTCTTATAAATATTTACATACACATACTGATACTCCTACAATTTAATTCTTTTTGCAGTGTAGTAGTTTTATGATAGGCTTTAGCGAATAGTAAATTTGTACCTTGTGATCTTGTGATATGACAAGTACGTCATGTTTATTGTTGCAGTATTTTAATTTGATAATATTTATAAACATGATTAAGGAAATCATGCATGTTCATCTTGATTCTAAAATCAGATCACATGATTAGCAGTGTACAAAACTTGTTGACTTACCTTGAAATCAAATTTTTACAGTATGACATAAAATGATAATTAAACATTCAGTAAAAATTTATGTCCTGCAAAATACTTTCAAGTTTGACGTGTGCAGGTGACAGGAATTTTTTTAATGCTATATCACTGCAGAATACTTATATGTAAATGCATGAGCACTGTACATAACCATGATAACAATTTTAATAGAAGAAATATCAACACTATACAAAGAATATATTATAGATTTATATAATATATACATGTACATGTACATGTATATAGCTTAGATTATAGTCTTGGTGATATTTTCTGTTACCAGTATGTACAATGTCAATGGCATGTACAAACAATACATCTACTTTGATACATGGCCAGTAGCACTTGTTCTGTTATTGCTTATAGTTAAGAATTAGACATGAAGTTGGATTTCAAGCAAAGTATATCAAAGCACGGTTAATAGTCTACTTAATTTTGAGAATAGTCATCTTCTCCTTGATCTACTTGTTCTAAAGCATTAATAGTTCCACCTTGATTATTTTCAAGGATTTAGGTCATTCTCAATAAATTAAGATGCCTATTGATAAAAACTTACAATAGTGTATGATTTTCATATTAATGGATACAGTTTGATTACAAGATTATAGATCTAAGTATCAATTTCAGAAGTTTTTCTAAAATATGTTGAAGTTAACACTTCCTATCTTTGCTATTACACTTTGCCCTATATTGCACAATGATTGTAATTAGTGTTATCATTACACTTTTAGCCTTTGTATACTTGTACATGATCTATCTTCCACAACTTGAACCTTGTTAAACCTAACTTGATGTATCCTGTTGTCTTATTATAATATCTTTGAAGCACTTGATGTGTCATATTTATATATACTCATTAATCATACACTTTTGACATTGTCATTGGTGTTTACTTAGATTCCCACTTTCCTCCTCAAAGTAGAAAAAATTACAGGTCCATAAGACAATCATAGTTTTGAAACTTAATTTTGTTTAAGCTTTTTTTTTAAGGCTCTCTCTGTGTGTGTGCTCTTTGACTTTTTGTGTGTATTTTCTGTTTGTCAAGATTTATGGACTTTCCTCAGGCCATATGAATATTCTAGTAAATGATGTAAGATGTCAAGAAGAAAAAATATAATTTAAGGATTTGGCAGTCATTATTTGTATACCTTAAATATACTTTTTTCCCAAGAGGTCATTATTCCACGGAATCAATTGTCTATTCAATCTGAGGGTAGAAAATTACTCCGATTTCTTGGACTGCCATTGTGTGTCTAAGATGTACGTAAAATATGCTGAGACATATTTCCATGGAAAATCTATGACACATATCCTAAATTATATTATAAATAAATCTCATGCAGAAAAAAAGTATATCTACAGTATTAAATTTAGCAGCTCAACTAAAGTAATACAAAAGGATATAACTTGGATGTCCAAACTGATAGAGAGTAATGTAAGCTAGAAAAGTTTTGTAAATACATGTATGAAGCGATGTCACTCAGATGTGTGTTCTTTTTTGTCACAGGTCACTCCCATATGGCAATAGTAAGGAGGGTTAATAATGAAGGAGACGGGGATCCTTACTACGAAACCCTGGGTGTTTTAACTTTGGAGGATGTCATCGAGGAAATCATCCAATCAGAGATCATAGATGAAACAGATATCATAAGTAAGAGCCAATCAAAAACTAGAAGACAACAATACTATGACTATGAGCAGTTAGTTATTTTATTTGAGAAATCATCATATATATCCTTAAATATTGGGGAGATAAATTAAATAGTATGAATACTAAACAGACATATCACAGTTGAATGAGTCAGAAAAACTATGTATTCAGAGAGATGATGAGTGTTAAACTTCAGAGTTTAAAAAATAAAGATCAGTTACAAAGAGGAAAATTATAAAGTATGAGAAAGTATGCATGCTCATTGAGAATAGATGCTTTCTTTCTTTGTTTATGCAGGAATTACGTGTAACAGTTGCAGCCATTGCCAAAAAAATACATAATCTGTGTAAGTGGTTTATGAATTTTTTTTCTGCAATGGTTGCAACCATCAACCATGCATTAACAAACAACAAAATACATTTCATTGTATAAATAATCATGTAAAGTAGGTTTACATACATAAAATATTGTGTAACTTATTGATCTATAAGTCAGAATATTATTGATAATAACTTATATTTCTTTGATGGAAGAGCCCAGCTAGTCCACTGTTAAAAAAATTTCACACAGATGGCTTTAAATAAACTGTTCTAACTACCAAGGGTATGTTAGAGTTAATAGATTGATTAAGGAAAGTAGTTTTCATAAGAAATATAGAAGAAAATATTCAGTGGATGTAAATATATTGTGGTTCTGCCTGAGATAATTTCATTTTATTGAAAGATTTTAGGGTTTCTTTTAAAAAAATATTTAAACTTATTAAAATTGTATCTGTAAATGTCATTAAATTAGTTATTAAAATAACTTGGCATCAAGTGCTTAGTTCTGGGACATACATGATATGCATTCAATATTATATTACTTGTTACTGTTCAACAGAAATTTGATGATAGGGGTACAGTAATATGCACATTTTTACATATAAAAAACATTGTCAAAAGACATATGTAAAAAAAAAATTACCACTAAACATGTGGTATTTTTAAAAAACACCATGTGACAGACAGAGTTCAGAAGGCTGGTACATGTATATTTCAGACCATGGTTAAATTACTGGCCACGGTAATGGGATACACCGCAGTGTCATTAACTCAATTACTCTCTAGCTTTAAAAACCCATCCTCAGCATTGGGGAAAAAACCTCCTGAATAAGAGAAGGTGGATCTCATTGATTTCACATAAAGACTTGTGCTGAATAAGCATTTAGATGCTGGTTAGAAAGAGCTCTGAACTCTCTGAATTTTTTTTCTAGCAAGAAAACAAAGTTAGTTACAGATCAATAGGGAATTCTTAGAGGAGAGACTTTTCAGGTTTTCATTAGGAAAAAACAAAATGAAAATATATATGTATATTGTAAATTATATTTTATTTTTTTTAAAAGTGTCATGAAATAATTATATCCTTGCTCCGAAGGAGAGGGGGATGTACTGTTTTACCCTTGTGTGTCTAGCTGTCTGTGTGTCCGTGTGTCTATCTGTGTGTTTGTCCTTAATAAATTTTTGTCGCAGTTTTCTCAGCAACTACTCATTGCAGTTGCTTGAAATTTTAACACACTCTTTGTCTAGGCATGCCATATGGATTGGTGGGAGTCATTTTTGTACAAGTCTGACGTCAACTTCCTGTTTTGCTGTGCGTCTGTCTGTACCAAATTTTTCGTCGCAGTTTTCTCAGCAACTACTCAGTTGCTTGAAATTTTAGCACACTTTGTTTAGACATGCCATATGAAGGGATTCATTTTCATTAAATCCAATTCAACTTCCTGATTATCCATGCATCTGTCTGTACCAAATTTCTGTCACAGTTTTCTCAGCAATTACTCATTGCTGATGCTTGAAATTTTAGCACAATCTTTGTTTAGGCCTGCCATATGGTGGGATTCATAAGAGGGTATATTCACATCAGAGCGGGGGTATTACTAGTGAGCATTGGCTTTTTTTTCTTGATTATAAAATCTTTAAATACACAATTCTGACATATTATAAGTCCTATTTCAGTGAACTGGAGGGGACTGTAAGTTTCCTCCTCGGTTGTTCGGCTGTCTGTCCCACTTGATTTTCTGCACTTTTTTCTAAATATGCTCATGAATATTGAGTTTTATTGAGCATATTTTTGGTATGTGAGTGTACTTGATGAGGTACAGAGCAGGTGTGCTTTTCATTCTGCTTCAATGATTTTTTTATTGAATTGCAGCCATTTTAATTCTTAAGAAGAACCTAATTACATTTGTCAGTAGGGGACTAGTATATGCAATACTCTTTAAATGCTTGTTTTTAGTGGATGTTCAGTCTTCATTACATCAAGGTTGTATTAGACTTTGCATAATATATATTTTTCTATTTCCTTAGGGCATTAGCAATTTCATAGGTTGTTTAAAGCAACAAATGTCTTGATGTCACCTATGTTATAAAATTAATGGGCAGGAATGATATAATAATTTTTTTTTATCATGGAGGCTATGTAACTGAAAGTACACATATTTAAAATTTATTAATGAAACTAGTTATTCACATGGAAAGGATGCAGACTGAAAGTTCAGATAGCTTACTCCTGTAATCTTGGTCAGTTCAGGGTTTCAGATTCTCAGATACTCTATACATATTACATGTATTACATTTTATGTACACAAAATTCCCTAAAACGATCAGCCTAAAACAGAGCTGCATGGTTACAATCAAACTTCTCCAGTGCTGATTACCAAAGTATCTGCCAATAAAACTACTTTTGAAACATGCATTCCTGCAAATCCACAGTACATTTTTCACACAGTATAAGAATTAACAGATCTTAAAGGTTATGGTAAAGTTCAATATATTTGAAATGCCTTCCTATCTTTTATAATTTTTTTTAGCTCACCTGAGCTGAAAGCTCAAGTGAGCTTTTCTGATCACATTTTGTCTGTAGTCCGTCTGTCTGTCCGTCCGTCTGTAAACTTTTCACATTTTTGACTTCTTCTCAAGAACCACTGGGCCAATTTGAACCAAACTTGCCACAAAGCATCGTTGGGTGAAGGGGGTTCAAGTTTGTTCAAATGAAGGGCCATGCCCTATTCCAAGGGGAGATAATTAAGAATTGGTGAAAATTTGGTGTCATCTTTTAAAAATCTTCTTCTCAAGAACCATTGGGCCAGAAAAGTTGAAACTTATGTGAAACCTTCATTACATAGTGTAGATTCAAGTTTGTTCAAATCATGACCCCAGGGGGTAGGGTGGGGCCACAATGGGGTATCAAAGTTTTACATAGGAATATATAGGAAAATTCTTTAATAATCTTCTTCTCAAAAACAACAAAGCCACAATTAGTCATATTGATATGAAATCATCCTCAGGTAGTATTGATTCAATTTTGTTCAAATCATGACCCCCGGGGGTAGGGCGGGGCCACAATGGGGGATCAAATTTTTACATAGGAATATATAGGAAAATTCTTTGAAAATCTTCTTCTCAAGAACAACAAAGCCACAATAAGTCATATTGATATGGAATCATCCTCAGGTAGTGTAGATTCAAGTTTGTTCAAATCATGACCCCCAGGGGTAGGGTGGGGCCACAATGGAGGATCAAAGTTTTACATAGGAATATATATAGAAAAAAATCTGAAAAATCTTCTTCTAAAGAACAACAAAGCCAGAATTAGTCATATTGATATGGAATCATCCTCAGGTAGTGTTGATTCAATTTTGTTCAAATCATGACCCCCGGGGGTAGGGTGGGGCCACAATGGAGGATCAAATTTTTACATAGGAATATATAGGAAAATTCTTTGAAAATCTTCTTGTTGAGAACAACAAAGCCACAATTAGTCATATTGATATGGAATCATCCTCAGGTAGTGTACATTCAAGTTTGTTCAAATAATGACCCCCAGGGGTAGGGCAGGGCCACAATGGGGGATCAAAGTTTTACATAGGAATACATATAGAAAAAATTCTGAAAAATCTTCTTCTAAAGAACAACAAAGCCAGAATTAGTCATATTGATATGGAATCATCCTCAGGTAGTGTAGATTCAAGTTTGTTCAAATCATGACCCCCGAGGGTAGGGTGGGGCTACAATGGGGGATCAAAGTTTTACATAGGAATATATAGGAAAAATTTTTAAAGATCTTTTCAAGAACAGGAAAGCCATGATTAGTCATATTGATATGGAAGCATCCCCAAGTATTGCAGATTCAAGTTTGTTCAATGCATCCTCCAGTAGTAGGGTGGGGCCATAATGGTGGATCAAAGTTTTATGAAAGAAAATATATAGGAAATATCTTTAAAAATCTTCTTCTTAAGAACAACAAAGTCTTGATTAGTCATATTGATTTGGAAGCATCCTCAGGTAGTGTACATTCAAGTTTGTTCAAATCATGACCCCCCCCCCCCCCCCCCCCCCCCAGGGTAGGGTGTCAGACATCTTTAAAATTCTGTTTTAAAGAACAGCAAAACCATGATTAGTTATCTGAATATAGCAGCATCCTCAGAAGGTTTATATTCAATTTCATTCAAAACATGGCACCTGGGGGTAGGGTATGCTTAGAACAGGCCATCAAAGCTTTATATGAATATATAAGAGAAGAAATCTGCTGATGAAGAACAACAGGGCCATATTGACTCAGGTGAGCGTTGTGGCCCATGGGCCTCTTGTTTATTTATAATTAGAATTTCTTACCTTAAGGACAGATGATACAAACAATATTTTTCTTTGGAGGAGACTTAATATCATGTCACAGTTTTAGAAAAGTGCATAATTCTTTGATGTTTTTTTCTCCTTAGACTTTGGAGAATGAAATACCTTCCATATTTTCCCCCAAAACTCTCATTCTCATTCTAGTCACATTGTTATTCTTAAGAATAAGATATCATCTAAACCAGATAAACCTGAATTCTAATCATACTTGAATATATATCAGGAAATCGTCTTGTAATGATTAGAAAAAAAATCAACAATAAGAATAAGTTATTTCAGTTATTTATTGTTTGGATGATATGCTAAAGTCATGCTTTGCTAATGATTGCAATGCTATTGCCTTTTTAGCTCACCTCAACGAAGTTGGGGGAGCTTATGTAATACCGTCGGCGTCCCAGGTTAAGGTTTTTGGAGCAGTTTTCTTTTCAAGTACTTCTATGGCCTATATTAGTCAGAGATGCATGGAGGATGCTTCTAGTGTGTTTCATTGTACCAGTCAAGGTTTCAGATGGTGCAATTTCAGCTAAAGAATGACGAGGTTAATGTTTTTGGAGCAGGTTAAAGTTTTTGGAGCAGGTCAAAGTTTTTGGAGCAGGTCTCATTTCCAAGTAACTGTAAGCCCTATATTGACCAAACTTGCATGGATGATATATCTAAGGATGCACACTACTGAATTTGCTTCGGATGCTGGATCTGACCTACATTTTCCGGATGAGTGACCAGGTTAAGGTTTTTGGAGCAGATCTCATTTCCAAGTAACTATAAGCCCAATATTGACCAAACTTGCATGGATGATACATCTAAGGATGCACACTACTGAACTTGCTTCGGATGCTGGATCTGACCTACATTTTCCGGATGAGTGACCAGGTTAAGGTTTTTGGAGCAGATCTCATTTCCAAGTAACTATAAGCCCAATATTGACCAAACTTGCATGGATGATACATCTAAGGATGCACACTACTGGACTTGCTTCGGATGCTGGATCTGACCTATATTTTCCGGATGAGTGACCAGGTTAAGGTTTTTGGAGCAGATCTCATTTCCAAGTAACTAAAAGCCCTATATTGACCAAACTTGCATGGATGATACGTTTAAGGATGCACACTACTGGACTTGCTTCGGATGCTGGATCTGACCTATATTTTCCGGATGAGTGACCAGGTTAAGGTTTTTGGAGCAGATCTCATTTCCAAGTATCTATAAACCCTATATTGACCAAACTTGCATGGATGATACATCTAAGGATGTACACTACTGGACTTGCTTCGGATGCTTGATTCTGACCTATATTTTCTGGAAGAGTGACCAGGTTAAAGTTTTTGGAGCAGATCTTATTTCCAAGTAACTATAAGCCCTATATTGACCAAACTTGCATGGATGATACATCTAAGGATTCACACTACTGGACTTGCTTCGGATGCTGGATCTGACCTACATTTTCCGGATGAGTAACCAGATTAAAATTTTTGGAGCAGATCTCATTTCCAAGTAACTATAAGGCCTATCTGATCAAAACTTGCATGGATGATGCATCAAGGGACGAACAATCTCAAAACTTGCTTCGGATGCTGGATTTGACTTACATTTTCTGGATGAGTGACTAGTTTTAAGTTTTCAGGTAAGTCTATTCCCAAGTAACTGCAAGCCCACTAGGGATGCACACTCCTAGATTATTAGTTTAGTGTGGGACTTGACCTTACTTAAAAGCAACATTCGTTGAGGTGAGCTCTGTAATCTCTGATTACCTATGTTTAAAAAATAAAGTCACAATGAAGTATGTTGTAATAAATATAAGGGGTATACAGTTCATCACTGTAATTGAAATAAATGCTAGGTCAATGCTAACACATTTGAAAGGTATCTCATTTATTGTGTGCCTTATGGCTGATACTAATTGAGTCCCATTAGGATGATTGTGGATAAGTTTCTTGGCAGGTTTTGTAAAGTAATTACTGGTTTTGAGAAATTGCCTCTGCAGGAATGAACTGCTTCAACACATACGTTATAGAAGTAAAGTACAGGGTGACATTGTATTCTGTTGTTGGTATTGTTAATATTTTTTATTATATAAGGTTTTTGACATCATTAAGCTTCCCATATTATGATAGAATCTGATATGAAATTAATAACTTATATTTGTATTTTAATGAGTGGATACTATTGTCCGATGTGTGATCGATCAATACCTGGGCCGGCATCATGACAGAGAATCGATTCCAATAGCGACTACTTCTTGTTAACTGGAAATCAATGGGGATACACATTTTATTACTTGAAAAACATGAATAGCGATGACTCAGTATTGTGTGGTTGCTTCGATGCAGGAATGTCATTAAAAAAATTTCAGTGTACATAGGGAGTTAAGAATCAATTGCAGTAAAAAGCATTGGTTTTGGACAGTTTTATGTTTGTAAAGTTAAAATTGAAAGGAGAAAATTAAAAAAATCATAAGAATAGTTTAGGAAAATTATACTCTAATACTCTTGGCCATTTTAAGCACAGACTGAGCAACCAGATAACGTATACACATGAAATACTGTAATAAGCAGAAATTTTAGCAAGGATTCAATTTTGGCATTTTTGGCGAAGTTGCTGAGATCACTAAAATTTAATATTGCTAACAATTCATTCCTCATTGGAGGTTATCCTTATCTTTCTAGGTATCACAAAATCGCTAAAATTACCTCTCGCTAAAATAAAATATAGACTTTTTACGAAAAATCTCTTTTGCATCTTGCTAAAAATTCCACGTATACAGTATACTTGTTTTGGACAAACAGTATTTATAAATTCATAGATAAAATTATATTATTCTGTTGTGTTGTATTAGTTGACAACAGGAAGAAGACCAGAAGGACTTTGGCGAAGCAAGACTTCAGTGTGTTCAACACATCGGAGACCAACTCTATACTTATTTCTCCTCAGCTGGCCTTGGCTGCATTCAGATTCTTGTCAACTTGTAAGGGGAATAATCATATATGTATAATTACTGTCTCTAAGAGTTACTTTGCATTCCTAGATTCTTTACAAGCAAATTGATAGAAAAAAGGGCAAATTTCAAAATTTAAACTGGAATATCCATGATTCAATAATGAAAAAAAATATTAAATAAAAAAGTAGAATGTATTGTTTCATCATGGTGGCTGAATAAACTTATATATACTTTGATTTTTTTTCAATTTGTGATGTATGTATTTCAGCTGTTGAACTGTTCAAAGAAGAATTTGTGTCAGAGAATGTGTTGAAGAAACTGATTCGTCAAAATGTTGTTGAAGAGATTGTCAAGAAAGAGAACTCTGATCAATACCTGTTCAGGGAGAATGTGCCCTGTGATTACTTTATACTGCTTCTGCAAGGTAGGATTGAGGAGTTATCTATCTTTGACTTCATTATTAAAATAAAAAAAAGACCAGGATACTACATTACTTTTTTCCTTGTCAACTAAATGGTAAAGTTTCAGTAATATGCTGTCTATTAAATATTAAGAAATGTACATCTCTAGAGGTTCACAGGTGAAATTAAGTTGATGTTGATCATATGCTCTAAAAATTAATAAACTGTAGGAAATATTTGTCTTTTCCTGGACGTTTTGTAGGGATACAATTTGTATATTCTGAGCAAAGAACGAGGGCTCTTTTGATTGGCATTCGGCAGGAATCTGGGCGCACTTGAAAAGTGAAAATTTCATTGATCTATCAAACGAAATTTTAGCACTCTTTTGATCATTTGGGTTCCTGTGAAATAGGAAAGGGAAATATTTTCCCGAAATTGAATTTTGATTTGCTAAAAAATGACTTGAAAATAGGCTAGATGATTCATTTGGTACAAAATGTCACATTTTGAAACACGTTTTTCTAAAAATTTGCTATCTCTGGGTCATCTCTCCATGATTTTCAAACGTTATTTGTATGAATTTTAATTCAAAGAAACAAACAATCATTTGTAAAAAATGGAGAGAATACCCAGAGACCATAAAAAATTAACTTTTTCCAAAAAAATTCCAATGTGTAAATGCGGTGCTTTATTGTCGTTTTAAAAGCCAAATTGTATGTGTAGCCGTGAAAGCTTTTTGCAAACAATTAAAAGTACGTGTGCTGAACAACAAAGACAGTATGCCTTATATTACGTACAATGCTTAATCGCCATTTTGCTTTAGAAAAGTTCGGGAAAACAGTGTACCTGTGACGTCGTATTTTACGACTGTGACGTCGAGTAGTGGTTGTCTGCATTAGGAAGCTGCTGTAAATTTGGTAGTGTTTACATCGCTGCGTTTTTCTGGGCGTTTCGTGGGATTTAAAAGTTGTTACGGTTGTGAAAACATATGTAGGTGTTAGCAGTTGTCGTGCTGAATACGCATCGGTATGTATTTTCGTTTGCTGCGTGTCATTTCTTCAGTCGGGTCTGCATTCATGGGGACTATGAAGCCGTGCGTTGTTGGCAATGTTTAATGGATATCTACAACTCGGAAGGAACGTTTTGCGATAATAGTTGAGTCGTAGGATAATTTAATGACGGACAATCGATGGATTATTTTAATATCGCCGTTTGATTGCAAAAAAATGCAGAATTTAGCGAGAAAATAATGATGCATGCGCAGATGGGGGTTAGTCGTTTTTTGATGCCAGGCATCGACTAACCCCCATCTGCGCATGCGTCATTTTCTACAGATACAATACTAGAACACCAGATACACTGCATAAAAGACACTTACCCTAGAAATAATAATTATGACTGAAAATAAACAATAAAAATATGAAATTGGAACACAATAAAAACATGAATGAATAAAAATAAACAATAATTCAATTATATTAGCTTCTTATATACACACTTACCCATTTAGACAGTATCTACTACAGTGAAAACTGATATTTCAAGCAAAACTAAGTTAGTTTTCAGGCACTACACCTGATTTCAAAATTTTTTGAAAATCCAGGATTTATAATTAGTCTAAGATTAAATAATTCCCTGTTCTCAGTAATATGCGTTACCCGTTCAATGCAAATGGAGTCGGAAACTTTTTTGGTTCGATCCTCGCATGGAGCGTTAATATTTTTTTAATGAAAGCAATCAATTCTTTTGTCAGTTTAATATTTTTGTCCTGATTTATTTTAAAATGGATATATTCTGGTTCTGTTGCATCAAGAGCAAAAGCAATTCTTCCAACCTACTACATGTAATACTTTAATATACACATGTACTTGTAATTGCATTTAACTATACCCTTACTATCTTGTAGGTGTTTATTATTTATGTGAAGCATTACTATCTTAAAGTTTGATTATTAAGATAAGCGGACCTAAATATTACAATATGACATGTTATTTCATACTAAATATAACATTTTCTTATGTGCGTAGCTTAATGTAAAGCCTGTCCAGCTGTGGTCAGCCAACCAAATCGTGGACATTTAAACTATAAATGTTTCGTACACATGATTCCTGCAGAGCACACGCCAAACACGCCCATCTTCTTTCCTCGAAATGAAAGATTGGGGAAAAAATTGTGTGACACTCATGTGATCATTAAGGCACACAAGCCTCTTGTTATTTTATATGAGAATATACTTAATAACAGTTTGTGTTGGAGAATATACATGTAGTAAGTTTATGTAAATGATGTAATTTATTGTTTATGATTTGCAGGTAATGTAGAGGTGACTGTCGGTAAAGAAGGACTGCGGTTTGTCACTGGAGCATTCTCTTATTATGGCAGTCAAGCATTGAGTATGTGTATTGTTTTAAGGATATTTGTCTGAATATATAGTATTAAATGTATTTCAGGAAATTTCCAAAATTAATAAAACATCTTTCAATTACTGTATACAGGGTTATTTTCGCCCCACTTCATTTTACTCCATCTTAAATTCGTCAAGTCACAGTTCTGTTTAAGAAATTGTACTGTATTCTTTGAATTCGCCCCATTTTAAATTCACCCAACTCCAGGGATAGACATTAAGTTTCAGATCCACTTGCCCTTCGGGTAAGTGATCTTATACTTTGACTTGTCCGAATGCTAAACTTGGTTGCCCAAAATAAGGAAAGAAATTAAGAAGAAAATTATCAATTTCTGTAGACATTATGATAAGAAAAAATGTGACCAAATACACAACTGTCAATTTGGCAAGTTGAGCTACCTGAAAAAAAATTTCGATGCTGTATTTGTGCATAAATGTATACCGCTGTACTTGTAAAATTTAACCTGTTAACACGTACTGCAATGCAGCATTAACCCTCCATTTCCTTTTAATAAAATTCATATTTTTAGGTCACCTGAGTCACTCAGGTGACCTATTGCTATCTGTTTTCGTCCGTCGTCGTCCGTCGTGCGTCGTGCGTCGTGTGTTAACATTTGAACATTTTCAGCTTCTTCTCTGAAACCGCTGAACCAATTTCAGCCAATTTTTGCATGTGGCATCTATGTGTGAAGGGGAACAAAATTTGTGAATTTCATGGTCCCTGCCCCCCTGGGGCCTGAGGGGTGGGGCTAAAACCATCAAAATTAATGCAATCTTTAAAAATCTTCTTCTTTGCTCCTGGACATCAAGCAGTCAAACTGTTGACATGATTGTAATAAGCATTGAGCCCTCTACCAAATTTGTGAAATTCATGGCCCCAGGGTCAGGGGTTCTGGTGCTAGGGCGGGGCTATATAGATCATATAGTGAAAGTGCATTATTTCTTTGAAAATCTTCTTCTCTACTCCTGGGTATTATTGAAACAAATTGAATACATAGTTATGATAAGCAAGGGTGACTCTACCAAAATTGTGAAATTCATGGCCCCAGGGTCAGGGGTTCTGGTGCTGGGGGGGGGGGGGGGGGGGGCTCTATAGATCATATAGTGAAAGTGCATTATTTCTTTGAAAATCTTCTTCTCTACTCCTTGGTATTATTGAAACAAATTAAATACATAGTTATGATAAGCAAGAGTGACTCTACCAAAATTGTGAATTTCATGGCCCCTGGGTCAGGGGTTCTGATGTTAGGGCGGGGCTCTATTTATTATATAGTGAAAATGCATTAATGCTTTAAAAATCTTCTTCTCTGCTTCTGGGTATTATTTAAACAAACTAAGTACATTATTATGATAAGCAAGGACACCTCTTCCAAAATTGTGAAAGTCATAGCCCCAGGGACAGGGGTTCTTGTGCTAGGGTGGGGCTATATAGCTCCTACAGTGAAGGTGAATTATTTCTTTGAAAATCTTCTTCTCTGCCCCTGGGTACTATTTAAACAAACTATGTACATTGTTATGATATGCAAGGATGCCTCTTCTAAAATTGTGAATTTCATGGCCCCAGGGTCAAGGGTCCTGGTCAAAAGGTGGGGGGGGGGGGGGGCTCTATTGATTATATAGTGAAAAATCAAAATTTCTTTGAAAATATTCTTTTCTGCTTCTGGTTAAAAAGCAAAGAAGCTAAGTATATAGTTATGATGAGCAAGAGTGCTTCTTTCAGAGTAGTGAATTGCATGACCCCTGGGTCAGATGTGCTGGTATAAGGGTGGGGCTGTTGATAATGTAGTGAAAATGCATTAATTCTATTAAATAATCCTGTCTGCTCCTTAATGTTAAGCAGTTAAACAAAGTGATAACTTATGATGAGCAAACTTGAAACTTCTGGTCCCAGGGTGAGAGGCTCTGGTGTTTCTCAGTGGTGAAGGGGGGGGGGGGGGAGGGGCTCTATTGATAATATAGTGAATCTGTAGTGAAAATGCATTATTTCTTTAAAAATCTTCTCTGCACTTGGGCATATCATTAACAGTTGTAATAAGGTAGGGTATTTTTACCAGATTTTTGAACATATGGACCATTTGGTCAAGTGTTCTGGTCCTAGCCAGGGCTCAATTAATTTGCATTCTACTGAGAGGAGTTATTCCCCTTTGCCGTTTACTTTTGATAATTAATCATTGTAAATAATGTACTTGAAAAATTAATAGAATAAGAGAATTATGCAAGAATTTTTATTGTATAATACAAAAAGTATTTTCATAGTTTTAATGATCATGTGGACTTGTAAGTAATAGATAAATAAAAATGAGACAAAAATAACTTGTCTTATTAAATGTTCATCAAAGACCAAGAGAGGCCAATGTAAGAGATTACAACAAGGAATTAAAATAGTACAAAAGCACTGACAGTTTGTTAATATACTGTATGGTGATAGTGATAAATGGGGAACAGATTAGAACCTAATCTATGAACTGTTAATGAATAGTAGACTAATTATTTTGTTGATCCTGATCACCCTATTTTTCTTGCTTTTGGGCAACAAAGCTTCACCTTTCATTTCATTTTAATACTCTATGGATCCTCTAAATTGTTGTATTCTACTCAGGTGACCGTTAAGGCCCTTGGGCCTCTTGTTAAAAAATTATTTTCGGTAGGATCCTTTTGTGATTCGTGATTTTCAGAGATAACTGTGAAGCAACGCTTAATGAAGATAGTTGCTACGAAACATACATCTTATCTTGATCAGGATACATCGTGTCATACTGTACTTAATAGTTATATATTCTGTGCGTAAATAAATAATCTAATTTCATAATAAGAAATTAATAAAATTTTGTTAGACATAGAGCATATTTATTATGAAAGAAAATAACGAACCCGATTTTTAAATGAACGGTATAATCCAGAAACGCTTCAAGGGAATTTCGAATGCAAAAACATTGTCATTCAGGTGCGTGACGGAAATCAAGTGTTCAATTTATTGTTTTATTTATTAATTAATGTAAACTAAATCAATATGTACATTAAAATGTATGAGAACAATTCACTTGCCCGATCGGACAAGTACGTCAACAATTTCACTTGCCCCAACTGGGAATTTACTTGTCCCGGGCAATCGGACAACCATTAATGTCGATCCCTGAACTGAGGGTAGGGCGAAAAAGGGTGAAAATAAAACGGGGACGAAAATTTCCCTGTATTCAGTAATTTTTTTTTTTTTATTTATAACTGAACAAATGTCTAATGGTGCTGTTTTGTGAAATATTTCAGAATGATATGTTATTACCAAATAAAGCTTATATAAATTGTTTATTATACATGTAATAAGTATTATTAACTAAGTCTTAAATAATATATTTTTTTTGTGTGTTTTTCAGAGATCACTGACAACTCTCTGATTTACCCAAGCAGTACTGAGAGCCTGTATAGTAAGGTAGAGCCCTACATACCAGATTTCTCAGTCAGGGTGGAGTCAAACCTACTATTTGTCAGAGTAAGGCGTGCTCAGTATATTGCAGCTAGACGGGCAACCATGATGGGCAAAGCCAATGTCAAGAGTGAGGATGAAGCCTTTGCCAAAGAGTGGCACAAGGCAAAAATCTTGTCCAACCTGTCTAATAATGACAACCACCATCTTAACAACAGTCGTAATCCGGATAAAATGAGGAGGGCTTCTAGTTTATCTGTTCCATTCACCAATCAGATACAAACCAGAACTGAGTCTGGTGAATGGAGAGTCCACAATTCAACAGATGGAGGAATTATCATCCACAACGTGTCAGGTGACCCGGATAAGATTGAAACTAGGGAAAGGTCTGCTACAGAACCTAATGAGAATGATTTAGCCCTTCAGTGTCTGGAGCCCAAAGTAAGTTCTGGAGACAGCGGTGATAGTTTGGGATGGGAGGATGCAAAATCTGACAATGAAGGCCACCCAGAACAACATGAACAAACCCCCTTAATAACAAGCACCTGTAAAGTCAGTGATAGAGATCAAGAGTCTTCATGACACAAATTTCGTAAACCATTGACAACAGAGTAATACCGAGGTTCTGCTGCTATTTTTCTTTCTTGTTTTTAAAATTTTCTAATTCCGAAAAAAAACATGCATATATGAAAACATTTAGACATTGTTTTGTTATTTCTAGTATTGATGAATATCGTTATGTTTTAATGACGCTTTTCAATACTTACTGTTTGACTGATCAATGTTTTGAAGTAGAGATATTTAACATATTTAGCCAATAGGCCTGGCATGTCAGTTTTCTGTATAAAAGCATATCATGCATTTGTTATCAAGGATGTGCACTAACAATATCTTTTTGTGAAATAAAATGTCAAGGAATGTTACTCATTTTGTACTCATAATTTATAACAAGGAAATACATTTTAGGTGGCTTGCATTGTGTAGAACTTGTTTGTTTGCATTTTCTGATTAAAAACAGGCAATGCATGATAGTACTCTATTATCTTGTTATTTGTTTATTATTGCATTATAAGTAAGGTCACAATGCTTTGGGATTTTTGTGTGTGTTTCACCATTGTAGCTAGGTCACAAAAGTTTAAAGGTTTCTGAAATGTCCTTTGACAACCTTAATCATTATCAATGTAGTATTATTTTCTAATCAAACTTATTGATAATTGTTTGAAAACTTTGAAATTTAGAAGAGAAGGAATTTTTTTTTATCTCAAAAGTTCTTTTTTTAACTGTTAAGACAATTCTAGGAGTTTTATGCAAATCTATGTATGTTACATATTTTGTTATTGTTCACTGTGTTTTCTTTGTGTTTCTATTGTGCTGTTCAGTTTTTTCAGAAATCACATGTTTAAGTCAATGATATTACACATACAAACATGAACATGTAATATAGTGACTGTGTAGTACACTGGATGTGGCATTACTTATGTGTGATGTTGAGTATGGAAGTGATTATTCTAATATACATTGTCTTGTGAAATACCCAGTATTATATGAAACTATTTGAGTGTTCAACAACTGTATAAGTTAACAATTTGAAACCTTTATCTGTTTTTATGTTGTTAGCACAGAGTAATTTTTACCTCACCTGAACAAAAGTATTCAGTGAGCTTTTCTGGTTATCTGTTGTCTGTCTGTCCATCTGTTAACTTTTTGCATTTTGACCTCTTCTCCAGAACTACTGGGCCAATTTCAACCAAACGTGCCACAAAGCATCCTTAGATGAAGGGAATTCAAGTTTCTTCAACTGAAGAGCCATATTCGCTTGAAAGGGAGATTATCAAGAAAATTACATCATAACGTCTTGGGGCTAGGTATTCGGAAACATTTCTCAAGGGAAATAAAAAGGGAATTTTTATTTTTCAAAAATCTGATGAAAATCTGATGAAAGTAGGGCCAAGGAGACGAAGGTGAGCATTGTGGCTTCATGAGTCTTTTGCATTTACACGAAACTCCCTTTCCAAGCACTCTCTGGAAAAAGTGCACTGAACAAATGCAATCAGTTATGAATGAGCAATTATATTTACAAACTCAAGCAGAGTAAATTATCTTTGAGGGCAAATGTTTGATGATATATGTTGTGTCTCTTTGCGTTATATTTTTCACAGTTTTGTAGTTTATCGTCTCTGATATTAGTTTGTTATTTGCCAGTAATTTGTATAGTTTATATTGTCTCTTGACATTCCATACAAGAAAGGTTTTGTGCAGAGTAAATTGTTTCATGTTTTCATGTGTATCCTCTTTGAACAATGTATTTTGTATAATTTGTGATTTGGAAAAAAAAAAATAGAGATACATGTAGTTTATAAATATAGCAAAACTTTTTTTTCTAAGTTTATAGAAGTAATATATTTTATGGAAATGGTTTTTTGCTGTTTTAGAAGATAAAAGTACTCATAAACAAATTTAAAATGCACAAATAATGGAAAGTCAAAAAGCACAGAATTTATTATATAACATTAGTTTTAATTGCATTCTTTCTTTGCTTAGATATGAGTTAGAATATTATGATATTGTTTTTATTTTTCTATTCATAATTTTTTTTTTATACATTCTTGTGACAAGCCGTCCAGAAGTAGAAAGTAGTCATCCAAAAAAAAAAAACATATTGGGGATCAAAAAGTCTTTTATTATTGGTAATTACAATTTTGCTAATTTAATAGCTATTAACAAAAATGCAATAATGGTAGTGTGCAAATATATCCCCCTTTCTAGTCCTGCTTTAATGAATTATTTTCATTTTGTTGATTAGAATATCATTACATAATTTTGTTAATTAATAAAAGGAAAAAAAAAGCTCAAAGATTGAAGGATTCTTTGGAAAACTGACTTGTATCAGGACATTTTGTATAGGACATTTGAGCGGGGGTAAAGAGGACATTTGCATGAAGCCATTAAACTTGCACGTGAATTTAATATTAAAAACACATGTATTTTCAGAGTTGGCATTTTGTAAGAAGTTGTTAAATTTTGTTTTTAAAAAAAGCAGCCAATGGTATTGAAAAAAAATCACTCCTAGAATCTAAAGCCTGTGCTAATTAAGAATAAGTACACAAAAAATGGCGCTTTTTTTTCTTTTTTTTAAAAAAGATATTTCATGCAGTTGAAATCCAATAAGAAATTTTAATGTAAATATAGGCTCTTGAAAATGTTCCCAGAAACTTTAAGAAACAAAACTTCACATACTTGTACTTCAAATTCTAAAACTTTTCAAAGATTAGATTAAATTGTAAGGTTATATTTTCCCCCTTCAAATTATGTGGCTTGGTCAAACATAAAGTTTAAACAAAACAGATATCACTTCTATAGAGAGTCAGTCACTATTAAAGCAAATTATTTGAAGTTTTTGAAGAAAAAAATTGTGTAATTTATTCTTCAGTAAAAATGTTTTGACCAATAGATGTTTTCAAGGTAAGCTCCAAGCAGTTAAATAGAAAATTGCAACTTTGTGCAAATTATTGGTGCAGAAGTTCTCCATTGTTGGTGCAGATGTCCCTTTCCACAGCTAAATGATTCAAATCCATAAATCATTAATAACAATCCTTCATGTTTCATCTATATTTTTAACCCCTAGCAATATATCTTTTAGCAGTATTCAAAATGTTCTAAGTGTGTTATAGTTTTCAGTATTGTGAAATAATTTTATTTCATTTTGAACTGCCAAATTCTTTCATATTCTTATATTCTTCATATATTTAAGTTTGAATAGTGTTTGAGATTTTTTGTTTTAGAAGAAGAAGAGAGATCAAAGTGGGAGGGGAGATAATTTGAAGGAAAATTCAAAACTTAATTTTTGAATATTATATGGATGGATGTTCACATTTTGTGTCATTGTCAAGTCTGTAAATTATCATTTGCTGGATGTAACTGTATTTGCTGGATGTAACTGTATGCACACTAGGAAGAGAAGCCATGGTACACTGTAAAGAGAGCTTTAAGGTTGTGGATTTTTGTGTCTTCTTTGTTTAACATTTCATCATTTACCCTAGCACCATCATAAGACATGCATAAGGGTGTACGTTGCCTACATGTTTTGGTATTCTCAATCTTTTGGGTTTATTTTTGTGGAAAAAAAAACCCATAATAAAACCAAAAATGTGTCCTATACATGATTTTATGGAAAAAAAAAAAAAAAAGAATTGATTTTATTTTAGACATGTGCAGCTGTATGTTTTCACAACATTATTAAGTAGGGAAATTTTAGAAGCAAGTGTGATTTTTCAGTCATAATGGTAAAGTCTTTTTGTAAAACAGGGTCTTGCTTAATATAAAAAAAAAATATATCAGTTCTACTACAACTTTGAGTAATTATAACTCTGCATAGAATTGATTTTCGCTTGATTAATAACTGTTTTATGTTAAAGTTTTCCTTTTTTAAGTTGAAAATGCTGTAAATTATTTTTAAAAGAAATGAAAGAAAGGTAACTGAATTTTTTGTAATACAGTACTGTTATATTTGCAACAACTTGTTACATTTTGTATATTGAAATCGTTCTTGGTATAAAATTCCAAATTTTCAGTTGTAGCAGAAAGGATTATATATATATATATATATATATATATATATATATATATATATATATATATGTATATATATACCTGTAAGATATCAAGGAGAAGGTTATTGTTTTTTCCCACCTTATATACTAATGTTCTGTATTTTTGTGATGTGTACATAAAAGTTAACTAAAATAAAGAATCTTAAGCAGGGTTATTTGTTACAGTTCATTATCATATGGTACTGCTGGAATATAGGCATTTATCAGTGGCGGATCCAGGAATTTTATAATGGGGGGGGGGGAGGGGGGGCAGTAGAAGGCCTGGGGGCTGTATTGAAGCCCCAGTGGGTCCAGTGCAAAGCCCTGATGGGGGTCTGATGAATTCTTACAAATAAGAGGTGTTTTTTCCTTGATTTCAGGATAATGAACATATAAGTTCTACATAAAAAAATTCTTCTTTACTCCTGGACATCAAGCAGTTGAACTGCTGTCATTATTGTAATAAGCATCGAGTCCTCTACCAAAATTGTGAATTTCATGGCCCTAGGCTCAGGGGTTCCTGTGCTAGGGTGGGGCTATATAGATCATATAGTGAAAGTGCATTATTTCTTTGAAAATTTTCTTTTCTGCTCCTGGGATTAAACAAATTAACTAAGTACATTGTTATGATGAGCAAGGGTGCCTCTTCCAAAATTGTGAATTCCATGGCCCCTGGGTCAGGGGTTCTGGTGTTAGGAAAGGGGCTCTTGATAATATAATGAAAATGCATTAATTCTTTCAAAATCATCTTCTCTCCTGGGTATTAAACAGACTAAGTACATAGTTATGATGAGCAAGGGTGCCTCTGTCAAATTTCTGAATTTCATGATCCTGGGTTGTGGCTGTGTTGAATCTGTAGTGAAAATGCATTATTTCTTTGAAAATCTTCTCTGCTCCTGGGCATATTGGAGGCTAACAGTGTAAAAGTTTTAATAAGCAAGGGTATTTTTACCAGATTTTTGAACATCTGGACCATTTGGTCAAGTGTTCTAGTCCTGGCCAAGGCTCTATTAATTTTTGTATTCTACTGAGAGAAGCTATTCCCCTTTGCCATTCACGCTTAATAATTAGTTAATTACTTTAAATATTTGTATTTGAAAGAGTAATAGAATAAGAATAGAATAAGAGAAATATGAAAGAAATTTTACCGTATATTACAAAAAGTACTTTTTGACTAATAGTTTGTTAATAGTCTGGTGATAGTGATAAATGGGGGACAGATGAGAACTTACTTTATGAGTTGTTACTGAATACTAGACTAATTATTTCGTTGATCCTGATCATCCCATGTATCTTGCTCTTGGGCAACAAAGTTTCACCTTTCAGTTTATTTTATACTTTATGGATCCTCTAAATTGTTGTATTTTAGAGGGGCCCAGTCCCCCTTTTGTGTCCAAAAAAAAAGAGATTTAATGAATTAATTTTTTGGTGTGGTCCCTGGGCCCTCACCCCGATCCCCAACTGGTCAACCCCCCCCCCCTTTTTCAGGAACTCTGGATCTGCCACTGTTAAACTCAGGTGCCCTTGGGCCTCTCGTCTTTCACCATGTGGCATACTGATTTTACATTTACACTCTCTGAAAAAAATTGTGTTTGTGAAATTGATAACAAAAAAAGCAGGTAGTTTTATATAAAAATGATTTACTGCACGTACATTTTATTGGAGGAATTAAGGAATCTAAGTTGCCATCAAAATGGCCTGTGTAGAGTGGTATGTAGGAATACTAAATTCCTTGTTTACCTGGCTGACTTTGAATTCCTTGATGAGCTGTTACATTACTGCTGCTGTTACTGCATTCTAGGAATTTGTTTCTCTGTCCATTCATGATGCCTATATATACATGTATACTTGTGTTTTAAATTTAGTGTCAGTTATGCCCCTTTTAGCTCTACTGGTCAGAGACCAGAAATGCCATAGTAATTTATGGTGTCCATCTGTCTGCAAACAATTTTTCAAAATGCTACTCCTCTTACAGTTTTGATCTGATTTCAGTATATAACTTGGCACACAAGTAGACTACACTAAGATACATAATTCTACAGATCTGTTTTTGAATTCAATCAACGGTATTGCCATGGTTACTAAAATAGAATTTTCTGTGAAATACTTTCAAAACGCTACTCCTACAGATTTTGTTTGATTTCAGTATATTAACTTGCCGTACAAGTAGACTACACTAAGATACATAATTCTGTTTATCTATTTTGGATTTCGATAAATGGTGTTGCCATGATTACTAGAAATAGAAATTTTCTGTGAAATACTTTCAAAATGCTACTCCTCTTACAGTTTTGGTCTGATTTTAATATAACTTGGCACACAAGTAGACTACACTAAGGTACATACTATAGTAACTCTAACTGTTTTTGATTTCGATGAATGGTGTTGCCATGGTTACTAAAAATAGAAATTTATGTGAAATACTTTCAAATTGTTACTCCTCCTACAGTTTTGGTCTGATTTTGATATGACTTGGCATGCAAGTACACCGGCTATACCGAGATACATAATTCTCTTTGTGTGTGTATGTGAGTGTTTTACTTCGATGAATGGTGTTGTAATGGTTATTGAGATTAGAAATTTCTGTAAAACTCTTGCAAAAGGCTACTCCCCTACAGTTTTAGTCTGATTGCAATAAATTTTGTCACAAAAAGAAACTAAATCAAGGATTCTATTCATTGCTGTTGCATTGTTTCAAATGTTAGCGCTACTAATTTTCTCTTCCTTTGTTTAAATTACAAACCAGTAGAACTACAGTCACATCAGAGACTTCTGGTTTTGCGATGTTTATTTGTCCGTCGTCCGTCCGTCTTTCTGTCTGTAAACATTTTTTTTTTCCACAACGCTACTCCTCCTACATTGTTCCAAATTTCGATGAGACTTAGTATACAAGTACACTGTACCAATTAAGATACATAATTCTCTATACTGGTTTTTGATTCTGACAAACAGTGTTGCCATGGCTACTAAAAATAATTTCTGTGAACTTCTTTCAAAACACTACTCCTCCCACAGTTTTGGTCCGCTTTCAATAAGACATTGTAGTACATGATACACCAAGTACACACCAGTAGATGCTGAGCTTCAGTGTCCACAAAAACTTCTAGTTTCGTAACACATCAAATTTTTGCCGTGTGGTTTATCGAAGATTTACAAATTTTCCGAAGCTTTGTGACATCCGTGTTAATTCTCAGCATGAAACGTACACATGAGGAAAATATAAATTTAAATGTATCTTTGTAAGAGTTATCTTTCTTTGTTCATACTGTTTCCTTACACGAAAATTTTTTTTTTAAATCTCGATTTGTTAAAATGAAATCCTTTCCTAAAACCCCTGGGTCTATAGTTCAGGCCCTTTGTTGGGGCTTAGATGGTCATATATTTAAATTAAAATATTTAGTCATTACTCAGGGACTTTTATCGGGCAAATTAATAATTACCACGATTATAATAAACTTTAAAATCAAGTATACCAAGAATCAACATGATCAAGGTGGAGCTAAGTTGGTCAAACATGTGAACTGAAAATACGTTGACTTTTAAAAAAAACTTCTTTTGGCAGACAATCTTTGTATTACAGTAAAACTTGATTATAAAGAATTTACTCATAAGGATACCCCAGTTATAAGGAAAGTTTTACAGATCCTGTAGACTAGTTTTCACCAGGTTCCTATGTTACGTAGAAATGAAGAATCTTTGTGATACAGAGGCCCAGTGACCTCCTTGTAAATATGTTTTACAGTATTATAATTAACACAGAGTACTCTATCAAAATTGTCAAATTAATGACCCATGGTAAAGATTTTAGGACAGGGCTAACTTGATGATATCATGGTAAACAGAATCTATACTGAAAGCATTCAATTAAATTCCAATTTTTGGACAAACTCAATATAAGTAAGAGCTGCAAGCTAAACAAATCTCAAACAAACAGATTTTTGATATTTTTTATTGCTTTTAAATGATTTTTTCTCTACAGAAAACAGATCTTATGACTCAAACTTCACTCACTCTATAAGTGCAAAGTAGTTTCTCTCTCATGATAAAAATATATTATTTCTATTTAATAGTATACATGTAGATATTTATAAACAGGTTAATTAATATGTATTTAGCACCCAACAACAGGATATATATACCACAGTAGACAGAAAAGTTTGTCTACCATGTTGGTTTACAAAAGTAAAGCTATTTACAAAGGGCATCAGGCTGTCCATTATCTTATCACAGTAACAAGGTTTTGTTTAAAGCAAAAAACAATTAAGAATAGGAAATGTAACCTTACTTCCACTCACCCCCCCCCCCCCCCATGAAAATGTCATTACCTTAAAAATAGCGTAATACTGAACATACAAAATGGAACAGAAATCATTATATGTTCCTTTTCAATTGCAAAAAAAATCCTGTTTAAATCTAAGAATTGAACTGTAACTTATTAGTCTTGTTCATCATTACAAATTCAGAACAATTGTCTCATTGATAAGGTTTAAATTCTTCAATAGTGTTAGGACATCAGTGCTTCAATCATCAATCAGTACATTCTTATTACAAAGAACTTTGCAACAGAAGGAGATTCTATGCAAATTCTATACAAATTAAGCTTAATTCCTCCAGAAATGATTCATGTATTGGACATGTTTGAATAAGCTAAATCAAGAAAATGAATTTTTTCATCATAAAATTTCAAATTGAATGATGTACATTGTTATAGATATTAAACAACAAGGATTGAAAATGATAATACAGTAATACATATATACTTAAACTATGACACAGAAAGCAAGTAGTTAGTACTGAAAATCAATCTGTAATGATTTGATTGTTAAAGCTGTGACACAAAATTTACAACAAAAAATAATATTGATAACAAAACAATAAAAGCAACAAAGAATAACTAACCTACATAACCTGCAGATGGTTGTGTACCACCTTGTAAATATTATTATTATGACATATACAAGTCTACCGTGGAAAGAGTAAGAGTTATCTTTCTTTATGTTGGTTATGCAGGGGTAACGTCAGACTGATAATGCCCATGGTGTGTGAATGCTGAATGATGAGGAGACAGGGTTATATTATCTGTTGCCCTATTCTTCAGAGATAAGGAGTACCTGTTCCCTTGATGAAACCATAGTATAACGTGCACTCTGTGCATAGACATACAGTGAACATACAGTTACAAGTATATATATATATGTGATGTAAAAATTACATGCACAAGTAATAGTATATAAAAAATTGCACTGCAATTACTTAATATTACTTTAAAAATATTTTTAAAAATTGTATCGACTTCAATATGATTTTTCTTCAGTTTTTCTTAAATATTAAATTTGTGTGCAGATATGACTTGTGTAGCATTATGAGGACACCCATAAGATCAACATCATTCGTTTGTGTCGACTTGTACATTCATTCACATTTGAAAAATCCACTGAAATCAATATAGATTCTTCCAATATTCACATATTGAAGTCAATAAGAGATCTTAAACAATAAATTTACAGGAAATTAGACTGTATGCCAGTATTCAGTAATTACATTACTAGTAATTAATAACATTCCTCATCAACTGATTTCAAACAAGATGAAAAACACTCGAGTGACACATGAACTTATATTACAAAATGTATCTCATATGCATGTATTTATAGATTATACATATACATGATTTCTACATTTGTACACATAATGTACAGTCTCATGCCTGTGTTAAACACTGACATTGGCAACTGTTTATCACATCACAGCCAGCACAACCTTGGGTAGACACTAGTCTGATGGATGAATTTTTTGTCCATTCAATGACACCCATGTTTTTTTCTAGATTCACAGACCTGACTAAACTTCTGTGAAGGGGAACTTCATCAGAAATTCTTGGTTGTTAGAGCCTTGTTCTTAGACCTGTGGGTTTGATCACCACAGCAATTCAAGAAGGATCGTGAAAAATGCTACCAATATGGAAGAGATGTGTCTACTTTGTTCCATGGAGCAAACTGTGTCCATGACTCCACATTTCTTAGTTTGGAGATATCTTCCACAGGTTTGACAGGTTTTGCATCCTCTTGAGGAGAAGCTTTGGCATCTGCTGAAAAAATTTTGTAATTTTTCCCTTCATTGTTATCCCATAACTGCTTTCCATCTGCCTCGAAGCAGACGGCAAATTCCATCTTTTTCTGCTGGTCGAAGTTTGTAGGCACTTCAAATTCGAAAGAAAATGTATCATACATACTGTTAGTCTCAGAATATGGCACATAGTTAGATTCTACATCCATGTGTGTCTCCCAAGAATCAAAAGTGCATCGCAGAATCACTTTCTTTTCAAAAGATAGATTTTTAACTTTAACAGTTCCAAGGACTGTATAGTCTCGAATTATGACATTTTCCAAAGAAACACAATATTTCTCCAATTTGTCTCTGAAGGAAAGATAGTCAGAGGCTGGTTGTTTGAAATCTAGAATAAGGGGAGGTCCAGAACAAACCCCAGCTGTAGCCCCCTGAGTTATTGACTCCAGAATTTCAGGTCTGAGTCTTGGAGGTACATCTGAAGGTTCTGTCATGATTTTAACAGTTGCGAGAGCAAATCCTCGATTGTCTGCAAACGAAACTCTTTTTTTCCCCTTTGGTGAAGGAGGAGTAGGAGACTCGCGCCCGGATGAACACCCTGAAGAAGATTCAACTTCTTCTTCTTCATAACTGTTACAGCGCTGAATTATCGACTTGGGTGGTTTCTTTTCCATTTCATTCTCCATTAGTTTGACCTCAGCTGCTGTTTCCGAGAACGAAAACACATTTCTATTCAAGTCATGTGTAGGTATCTTGTCACAGTGACTTGATAATAACTGCTCCAGCATGGAAGCAGGTGGGCTTGTTGACAGAAGATAAGTTGTATAATCCACAGGCATTGTTTCTTGAAGTGTAAAACTGTGGGACAGTGTTCTTAGCATTTGGAAATCTGAAGAAAAAAAACACCTGTTATCAAAAATATCTGAAATTTGTAAAAAATTCATTAACAAAGGAATTACTCATCAATATTAAATAAAACACTGAACAGCTTCAAATTTATAAACTGTCTCAACAGTCTTTCATTTTTTTTAAAGCTATAATCCAAATAAACAGAGATAATTGTACATGACCATATGATGACTCCATGACTCACTCAATGCTCCCCATTTTTATCTTTTTTATACCAACTGTATCCCTCAATTCCTTTTAATGAAATGACAACAATTTGCTGACACCAACAATGTAAGAGCGCAAAACATCTGATAAACAATTTAAAATATGCTAGTCAGCAAGGTCACGCTAATCTATTTTTGTTGTATAAATAAACCAGACAACAGGGGCAAGCAAACTGCGCAGTATTGCTCATTCAGTGTTTTCCCATTATTTAAAAGTAAAGGGTTAGAGATCGATTGTAACAGGCTAATGGTTAAGGTCTATGAACAAAATCTTACAACAATTATTTTTTAAATTTTTTATTTCTAAGTGGCATTTTTTTCAATTGAAGTGGTTAATTTGGCCAGTGGCTGGTTCTAAGGGAAAACACTCCTCATTATTACAAGTATCATTTTTTAAAAAGTATAGCCTTGTGGGAAAAAATTTTTAAAAAAAAAATAAATAAAAATTTACAATTCCACTCATTTCATTTAATTCTGTTGTTCTCATTCATTATGTACATATGATCATTTTTTTTTTAAATTCTTTTTTTTTTTTTTTTTAATCAGAAAAGAGGGTATTTATGCTGATGCCTCAATCACATTGACATCAGCTTACACCGATTCAAGTATTTCCTTTTCCTGATCAAATAAGCTGACCCCTCAGCTTCACTATGATTAACTGATCTAATTTACGGATATGAATAAAAATGCTTACAACATGTTATATACCAACCCTGTGTCATCTTTGAAAGGGAGGTTTAGATGATACGTGCAAGAATTCACAATATTAATATCAATCCAAAAATGTGTAATTATGTATAGAAATATATATATACACAAAATATTTCAAATATACAGTTGAACTTTGATATCTCGAACACTGATATCTCAAATACCATTCATAGATATGTTGAAGTGATTTGGAAGTCCCAGCCCCCTATTCTTTAACTATTTTACCCTGGATATCTTGAATCTTCAAATATCTCGATTTTTTTTTCAGTCCCATTGAGTTAGAGATAACAAGGTTTGACTGTATTTTAAATCAGCATTACCAGAATGTTTAAAAAAATCATGACCACAAGTAAATTCGTCAATTCTCAGATATGCCATCATAAAATTACATCACATTCAAAGAACAAATATGTACCTACTGATGAATTACAAGAAAGTCCTGTGTGTTCACATTCCATTTACACACCACCACATATAGTTGCTAGACATGATGATTTCTCAAAACTAGGGGAACCAACAAAGGTTAGGGGAAAACAAAACCCATGCACTTTATATATAAGATACACTATCTATTCATCATGTTTATTTGATACTCAGAAAGTCCAACGGTTTCCAAACAGATGTTGATTCTCATCCAACTATCTGTCACAAATAATAAACACTCTTGTTTATGAATCTTTGTTGATTTCTTTAGATAAACTTGATGAAACAAGTATGTCTGATATGTTACATTTGTAAAGGAAAATCAGGTGAAAGTATGATACTGTAAGGTGCAAATGTCCTCTGCAACATTTAGCAATGGAGGTGCCATCACATCAATTGCTTGTAGACCTTCAGTGATTGAGTAGGCACTAGTATTACTCTGATAAGTAATATCTGAATGCAGTCTTCACTTTTTTTTCCAGTGAAATATTCCACACAGGTACAGAATACAGATGCAAAACCTGCACTCCATGGTCAGATTTATGATCAAGGTCAGTGTAGCGTACAGTGGCCACAGGTAAAAGTCTGAACACGCAAACAAAAGAATTATCAGCCATCAGAATATCAAGAATTTGTGAGAATAAATGTAAAGATGTTACAAATATACATGTGCTTTATCAGTCTTTTTTTTTTTTTTTTTTTTTGAAATGGAAAAATTATCCCATGTATCATTAAACTTAGGAATATTGAAGAAGTTCAAGGTTGCATTTAGGGGGTCATATCACAGTGAATGATATTTTAGACTCCTTGTGTCTTAGCTGCAAGTATATATGCATACAACTTGAACTTCAGTACCTTGTATATAATACCATAGATATGTCAAAGTGATTTGAAACTCCCAAGCACTGTTTCTTATTGTATTTTAACCTTAATATCTTGAACCTTCCGAGATCTCTTTTTTCCTTGGTCCCATTGAGTTTGAGATATTGATGTTTGACTGTATAGGCCTAATAAGCAACCTGATTTTTTAGAGCAAGTTACAGGGAACAAATATATTTCTGACCAAACTATGCTCCAGGCATTCCCAGACAACAGCTAACAAATAGATAAACATGCAACCACTGTGTCTGAATGTAGAGGGCTCAAAGATGAAAAAAATAATGTAATTGAATGTAACAGCTCAATTTGGTAATAATTGAGTGCTAATCCTCAGGGTATGGCTGGTTTAACCTTGGTTATTTAAGGTGAGACAGAAATAAAACTCTTAAGCTGATCAGATTAAAATACTTAATCATATTAATTATTTTTAACTATTATTAATTTTGAGTACATGAAAGCCATAATTAGATGACAAAGCAAATGATCAGCATATTACTTATCCTGCAAGTCATAATGAAAGTGTGTTGTACGTTTATTTATTTATTATTTTATTAACAAACATGCAGTCATATAAATCAATGCTATTTCGTTTAATCACCACCACTACAATGATCTGCTTATTTCTTCAAATGTAATAACATTTCTAACATTTCTAATCGTGTACATCAAAGATTACGTTTCTTGTAGTCAATATTTTTCTGGGAAAAAAAAAATAAACGATGAAAACTTTCAATCAATGACGAAACCATACATCTTAAATGAGATAAAATGTACTTCAAAAAATTACAACTATACACAAAATCGAGTTTAAAATTGTAAACCCAAGGCGCGTAAAACACAAAATTACAGTTTTTGCTTGCCGGTAATTTACCGGCAGCTCAGAGATACTAGGCTAAAAATATCGATATCCAGGCTGGAACCTGTTTTATGATCATAATTTATGCAATTGCGCATATAACATACCTGTAAAGCACTCCTGATTTGCATTAAAATTAAAACAAAAACAAAAACGAAATTGTTTCCACTCGAGAAAACTATGAATAAAGTTTTTTTCCCCAATTGCTTGATCAATAATTTTGAATACACCGGGGAGGAAACTGCATGTAACCACTTCCACTAACAAAAGTCCACAATGAATACGAAAGACTATAACCACCCCATGAACAACAGACATAAAGACAATTACCTTATTCGATTCTGTATGAATTACATGTACTTATTCTGAGTCATCCCACTGAATATCACAGTACATGTGTATTTCACCGAGCCCCGACATTGTTGACAATGTCAAGGACGATTTATGTTCACGTGTTCAGCTGCCGCTTATTAATATCGACCAATCAACACCCAGGAAAGTCGGCTGGTCTGCCGGCTGATCGCACGTGAAATGACATTGAATGCTGTAGAACATCACTACATGTACAGTATACCACAATGACATACATGTCAATATATTACTTGTGAATCAATATTCTTTCATTAACAGTTTTTTTTAATTTCTTTCACTAAAATTGCTCTTTGCAAGATATGAAATTTTTTTTTTAACTTGCCAGAAATCTGAAAATTTCAAAATTATTATATCTAGATAGATGGTTCCAATATATTTTTGTAACATCTAGAGGAACTTATGAGGAATATTACAAACACAGCCCACACAATTTATTTCACTTAAATGCTGACACAATCAAATTTGAAACAGGAAGATGAAAAAAAAAATTAAATGTCGGCTAAAAACTCAAGCAAGCTATAGCAGTGTATAGATCTAGGTCCTACAACAAACAGTAACTTTTCCTCTTTAAACACCATTTTTAACAACAAAATTAGAAGTGAATCAATATCCTAACCATGGCCATATATATACTTACTTCTCCATTTTTGTACCCGCACAATGTCACTGATATCACCCTAGCTGCTAGAAGCTTTGAATCCCTTATTTATAGAGTGAGCACAGTTCACATGAATTCGTTACTGATTTCCTTGCGAGTATAATGATAAACATTATTGAAGCACAATGTTTTGACATGACGACATTGTGGCTTAGTAAAATTATATACAAGGAAGAAAACCATACACGTCAAATATTTGTAATATTATTAATATGACTTTTTTCTTCCTCATAGGACTTACACACATAATATAGGCCTATATATGTTTCCTTTGCTGCCTCTACAGAACTTCATATTTTAGCTAGTGTATTGATCGCAATATATAAATCATTCACGTATACACACATCACAATCATTCCAGTATAAGATGGCATCACCAGTGAGAATATATTTTTTTTTATTAAAAAAAAACAACGAATTGTTGATGTTTTAAAGGAATATTACAGTTAGTGGTAGCAATAACTATCAAGTAAAGTACTTTATACATAATTACCTAAACATTCGCAGATCGAGTAAAAGTTTCCTTCTAGGTAGCCTTGGCAGACAAGAAGAATTTTCTTAAATAACTGGGCCATCACCAATTTCAATAAGTGTCTGATTTTCTGACCTTAACATAACAGGCCCTGAAGCCATAATAAATAAACCACGCTTTTACCATATCAAAACAGCTGATATACAATTTTAATAAAACCTTCGACTATGGTACAAAGAGAGGGCAAGCCACGCGCCTACCATGCATACACCACTCACAGGTTTATTGTAATGCTATACATGACGGGGGAGAATTGTTTCCTTAGCCCTACGATCACTGCCTGAAAGCTATAAATACGAAAGTTATAGCTAGTGTGCAAAATTATTATATTTAAAGATAATAAAAGGAATGCTTGTATGCAGGATACAGAGATGACTTTAAATAGCACAAGATAGGGCAGTGATCGAACAGTGTATAGAACTTTTCATTTATTAATGCATGCTGCAACTTAAGGTCATGGGATACCAGAAATCTATAAGTATCATAGCTTCTTCTCGTATTTTTTAAGCTTAAAATTAATGTGTTCATGTTAAATTTACGGTAAAATTATATTTTCATGCATTTTTTTTTCATGCTTTTGAAATGAATTTCAGTACATGTATAGATTTAATTAAGGGTCAAGTATAGATTTAAATTAAGGGTCAAGATTTTGGGAGAGTGACAAAATAAGACTGGTTTGACAGGGAAACCTTGTAATACATTAACAAACCCTGTTCAAGTTGTTTTATAAATTTCTATAACATATTTTTCTGAGTATTATATGTCCTTAAATAAATCTATACACACTCTCTTAAATATACCAGCATATACACAGCATTTGTATAATAGATGCATGGCTGCAAATTTCTTAAAACAATAAAGCAATAAATAAAATTATTAAAAATCTTTTACTACAATGGGGTCATTTAAATTAGTGGGAGCCATAAGACAATTGACCAAAATTTTACTGGAAAATAGATTCATTGTACTGTTAAGATGACAACCTTATCGTCCGTGGAGATGTAAATTCGTGGGTATAAAGGTGACCCATGAAATCCACGAACATTGGTTCTCCACGAACAATGATGATTCCACAAATTAAAGTATTTGTCAAAAATATTCCAAAACAAACAATTTCGCATCTCTCTCTTTCTCTGAACACTGATGGTACCTCATCTTTATCATTACATACTACCAGATACACGTGGACATGTGACCGCATATATATATACAAGTACATGTGTGTGTGTGTGTGTATATATATATATATATATATATATATATATATATATATATATAACTCTGATTTAAGGACTAGGGAGACCAGACCATTATATATGGCTTAAGGAGACAATATACAGATTTTTTAAATTTGCTTTTTTCGAAAAAGAAATACCAGATCAAAGATCTATAGAACACCATTTAGTCGACTCTTGCTTTATTTTTTCATAATAAATGCCTCCTAAAAATATATGAAAAAAATGGTCTCCTTAATATTTTATGTTTCTCTCATATGACTTAAGGAGACCAGTGTATATTTTTTATAAATATAACTTGTGGTTTAAGTAGACCATTTTTCTTTCATAGTAATTTCACTTATTATGCATTAATTAACATATTGTTTCCAACCAGAATAGTTGCGGATGGTCATTAGTCAAGGTCAGCAGAAAGATATTTGTGCTAATGTGACTCAACATGATCAGTACAAAACTTTGAATTAAACTAAAGTCATTGCACAAGTGACTTAAATAGAGAGTAGTTGCCCCAGTGGCGCAGTGGTTAGAGTGTCTGCTCTAGAGTAGCGAAGTAAGGAGTTGATCCTTACGTCGCAGGTTCAAATCCCACTGTGGGATGGGGAGACCGGTCCTTCAGATGAGACCATATAAATCGAGGTCCTGTGTCGCAGTAGGTGCTGGCACGAAAAAAATCCCTCGATGCTCAATGGCCGTAGGTGCCGAGTATAGGACAAAATTTGCAGATCTCCACCGGCATGTGGTGGTGTCTCCATATGAGTGAAAAAATCTTGAGAGGAATGTTAAACAACATACAATCAATCAATATATAGAGAGTATAAGCCCAGAGTAGCTTGTTCTGATATCCACATTTAACTCTCAATGCTGTCGCCCACGTGGTGCAGTGGAAAGAGCCTATGCTCTAGAGTCGTGGAGTTAGTTGATCCTTTTGTCACATGTTTGAATCCCACTGTGGGACGTAGAGACTGGTCCTTCATACAAACAGAGGTCCAGTGTCGCAGTAGATGCTGGCATGAAAAAGATCCCTCACTGCCCATTGGCCCTGAGTGCCGAGCATAGGTCATTTGCAGCTCTCCATCGGCAAGTGTTGGCATCTCCATATGAGTAAAAAATTCTCCAGAGGGACGTTAAACAACAAACAAACTCTCAATGCCCAAAACAGTTTAACCTAAAAGTGAATGCAGACACAGATTATTCTTTAGACCAAGTATAGTATACTCCATATTGTTTTGTTGAGGACACAAAGTTCACAGTGGACATCAAGTAGTTTTTCCTGCTATTTATACCCAGCTTCTTTTAAACCATATAGTCACTGAGTGCATTCGCTTTCCAACTAATTGATGAAGTTCTGACCTATGCCTATATTTGTTTAAATTCTTTCTGATTTAAGAATACATTTGACCAGTTGAAACCAAGAGTACATGTACTACATAAAATTTCAAGGTTGTGATTAAGATTCAGTAAAAGTTATGCCCCATCCAGTATAGCAATATGTGGATGCCATGTTCAATATACATATTTGCTATCATTAAACTTGCAGAGACCATGAATCAAAATAATTCAAATGCTTAAAAATCATTTTATTTTTACTGCTAGTCAAAATACAGTCACTCAAGCATATCCTTTGTTAATTTGAAAAAAAATGATAGTTTAACATTTATTATTAATACCATACCAAAGCACAAGATAGTGCACTTCTTACATAATCCAATGATTCATGCTGTGATTTTACCTATTTAGATGTTTCTTATTTACAGTTCAGTATACATGATATACCAGTACAATGTGACACTAACCTAGGATCAGTTAAATGGATCATTACTATTCTGTTTTTAAGAAGTTTGCAGGGTAAAAATTATAATAAAATAAAAATGTTGATACATTTATTGATTGCATATGTTAAAAACTTTTATAAAATATCAAACATTGTATCATAACAGCTTTTACAAATTAATTCAATACATTCAAAGGTACAAAAATCAAATTATTTTCATCCACAGTTTTATCATATTCAGTTGAACAACAGCTACATCTATTATATAAAATGTATGGTAGTTGGCACTGATGGTATATATATCCTGAGCAAAGAAAAAACATACCTAATCAAAGAATACAAAGCTCACTCCTATAAATGTTATCTACTAGTAAGGCAAAGTCTCACTCAACAAACACTCTGGTAATGTATATCACCTGGATCCAAAATCTATGCAAGTTGGTCTGGGTTAGATTTAACTGCTCAATAACCCTGAAAATGTATGTTACATCCAGCATCAGAAGCAGGATACATCATCTATGTTTACTGATCACCAAAGAGTACATTGTTACTTTGAATGAACCTTCTCTAAAAAACTGGTCATTAATCCAGAAAATCCAAGTCAAATCAAGGACTGGTACCCTGAAACATTTACATGTACATACATCATCTTTGCAGGTTTGTTCAACATAGAGTTTATAATTACATGAGAATAGGACTGCTCAAAACACTTAATCTTGTGGAGTCCCCCATGTGGCGCAAAGGATAGAGTTTGTA